CACATTTAGCTCAAACCCAGATATGTAGGCCCTTACCGGATCTTGAAAAGGATTGGTAAAGTGACCTATGAGTTAGAGTTGCCAGCAGACTTAGCAGCAGTGCATCCAGTCTTTCACATTTCTCTTCTGAAGAAGTGTGTGGGTGATCCAGCATCCATAGTGCCATTAGAGAGTGTGGCCGTGAAAGATAGCCTTCTTATGAGGATGTACCAATTGAGATTCTCGATCGTTAGGTTAGAAGGTTGAGAAATAAAGAAGTCGCTTCAGTCAAGGTTTTGTGGTGGAGTCAGTCAGAAGAGGGAGCTACTTGGGAAGCAAAAGCAGCCATGAAGTCCAAGTATCCTCACCTCTTTCTTTCTGATTCCATTCCAGCTTGAGGTAATAGTTCCTCTTCAGTTTTTCAGTCATTCATGCGAAAATTCAGTCTTAGAATCATGTTCCTTCAGTTTGTACTTGCATTTTCATCGTAGTTGCATGTCCTTGGAACTCAGTTCAGTTAGAAATTTAGTTCTCAGTGTTCAGTGGTAGGGATTGCAGCCCTCTCCCTCCATTTCAGCTAGTTTAGTCTTCATTCGAGGACGAATGGTCCCAAGGGGGAGATAATGTAACACCCCGTATTCAGAATAGACAAAAATGAAGATTTTGGAGAAGTTGCAGGTGCAACTTACGGTCACCATCCATAGACCGTAGGTCAGACCACGGCCCGTGTTGGTGGTCCGTGGTTCACCACTGCAACCCCTCCCCAAACCAGCTCAGAAAATTGGCCAAGTCCCGACTCACGGACAGACCCACGGTCCGTAGATCAGACCACGGTCCGTGGTCTGTGTCCGTGGATCGAGACTTCCCTTACCAGCCTCTGACACAAACTACGGTTGACCAGCACGGACCGTCAATCGATCCACGGTCCGTAGGTCTGACCGTAGATGAGGATCAACAGCTAGTTAGCCGAATATTCTGATGGGTCAACTTCAGATGGTCATAACTCTTAGTACAAAATTAATTACGTGTCCCATTCCCTATGGTTAGATAGATAATTATATTATCTTTCCAACTCCACCGAGTTTGCTAAATTCCGACCTCTTAGTAAAAAGTTATGCCCGTTTTAGTGAGGCCCTGTCGGACAGACTCGACCTACGGACCCAATCGACGGACCGTCGATTGATTGACGGACCGTCAATCAGGTCCGTCAGTCACTCCGACAGCAGCTAATTCAAGGGTCTTTTGGTCTTTTCCTATTTCGTTTAACCCCTAAGATACGTCGTTTAGACCATAAATCATGAGATTTTAATCAGTTTAAACCTAGAAACATTACTAGAACTTACCTAAGTCAAATCAATAATCTAACTTAGTAGAATTAGAACGCTAAAAGGAGAAAAGAAGTCAAGAACCCTAGTTCAAGAACGCAGCAAGGTTCCTTCAGTTCCAGCCCCGAAATCGAAAGATTTGTCCGTGGAATTCGTCACCAGGTATGTGGGATTTCACTAGTGGGTTCCTTTTGCCCATTAGGTCCCTAGAATTCAGTCAGATTCTTGATTCCATGATTATGAACAGACCTAGGATTTCAAGAATTACAGCAGATCATCATGAATTAGTTATTTAAATGTTCCAAATCAGATTATCAAGTTATTGCTCAGTTTATCGCATAAATTTCAGAACCCTAGCTATGTATTTTATTAGTTCTTGAAGTACACATGCTAGGTTAGATATTTCAGTTATTCAGATATACATGCTCCAGTTTTATGCCACATTATCAGTATATTTCAGCATAAACCCTATTTTGAGTTATAAATCATGAGAAGCTTTTCTTTCCGACAACACTTGAGTTTTAAATTGAGTTTTCGAGAAAGTTAAAATGAGTTTTGAGAAAGAGCTTCTAATACATGATTAGTATGACAATTGAGTAGGTCATCAATGTATGAATAGTATGGTATCTAGATATACCATCAATTTTTATGCAGTATGACTTCCCAAGTCATCAATGATCAGAGTATTGTTTTCTAAAAAGGAGTTTTCAAGTATGAGTATTTACATGTCAGTATTTTAAGCTATTCAGTGTTTCAGTCATAATATATTCAGTTATACATGCCTCAGTTTATGCATGCATCATTATCAGATTAATTGTTGCATTCTCAGTTTGCATGTTCAGTTTCGAGCTAGCCAGTATTTACAGAAATTCAGTCATAACCAGTTAACCAATTAATTCATTGGGAGTAGAATAATACCGAGTTGGACTAGGGTTTCAGCGTACCCACATAGTCCCAGAACTACGAGCCACGTATGTGTAAGTCCCCTCTGTGGGCAACATCAGTTTAGTGATCACGCCAGCATGCCTCTATACCTCTGGCAGGGTATATTGGGTCCTCTCGATGGGGCGTATACATCGGACTCCACATTTAGCTCATGTGGTTTTATGTCGGTTATTAGTAGCTCCCACAGTTCAGTCTGACTCTATTGCATTGACCATATTTCAGTACAGTCAGTATTCAGTCTCAGCATTTTAAAAATTGGTCATTGCAATCAGTTAGCTCAGTATTCAGTATTTTCAGTATCTATATCATGTTCAGATTATTTCATTGCTTTATTGCTTTGTTCAGTTATATGTTATTTCAGCTTTACTCCATCCTGCATGCTCAGTACCTTTCAAGTACTGACGCATACGTGTGCTACATCTTCTCGTGATGTAGGTTCAGGTTCTCAGTATCCAGATCACGCTTAGATCGGTTCTCGATCTTCAGTTCAGGAGCATCAGTGGTGAGTCCTCATTCTTCGAGGACGGACTAGTGACATGTCTATTTTTATCGCTTTTAGTCTTTAGTTTCAATTTTGCTAGATCTAGTTGGGGCATGTCCCAACATTTCTAGTCAGTTTAGAGGCTTATTTCAGACATAGTTAGATTCAGCTTAGTGTTTTGAGTTTGATATATTCAGCTATAGTATATGGGTATTCCCCATCTTTTCAGATTTATTTATGATTTAGCTTCCGCATCAATTTATTATCTTTAGTATGCTCATGATCATGCCAGCAGGGTTAGCTTGGGATCACTCGTGGTCCTAGGTCCCGTGTCCGCGTCTCTGGGGTAGCTCGGGGCGTGACAAAGAAAGTCCTCATGCTCTGAAAAGAAAACTTTGTTATTGTTAGAAACAACATATCAACATAAGACTGTTCACTGTTTAATAGTACACATGCATTAAATTTACTCTCTTTTTTTCTGCTACTATTCTTTCTTCTTGATTACCAATTTTCAGCATTCTTTCGGTTATCCTCACTTGCAACTTTTAACTCTCTTATCTTCTCATGTTGAATTGTGCAATTTCCTTGATTCGATTTCCTATTGTGAGTTTCCATCTCTTATGTTGGTTCTTAAATAGCATTAGGAAATGACCTTTTAAATTTGAATTTAAATTCTGATGATTTGTACATTAAAGTGATGAATGACTTTCCATATCATAACTTTTCAAATTCTTCCATTATGAGATTTATGATTATGATTAAAAGCAATATCAATGTACTCATTTATCAAGAAAATGGTAATTAATTATTAAAGGGCTTAAAGACTTCAAATTCTACCATTATGTAATTAAAATTTATATTTAATCAAAATTTAATTTAGTAGAAGGGCAAAATGGTAATTTAACTTTTCTTTTTGGAGCTTTCCACTTATAATAATATATATGATATGATGATGATTTGAGTGACATTATCCTAAAAATGATATTCGTTCATTCTTTTTACATGGGATTGCTATTAAATTGAATGAAAATAGTTTTAGTAGGTATGACAAAATCTTTTAAATTTATGCACCCATGATACATAAGACGAAGACAAATATACTCCAAATTGATGTTTCATTTAATTAGAACTCTCTGTACCTATATTTGATTTTTTAAAAACTTTCTGTACGTTTGTGAGATTTTTGCTTGTAACAAATGTGTTGGAGCAAAATCTGAAGGTTTACTGCAAAACTGTCAATTACTTTTAGTGCAACATAAACTTTTTTTTTGGGGGGGGGGGGTGCGGGGGGTGCGGGGAGATAAGGGGAAGGTAATCCTCACCATCAATGAGGGACGGAAGGTGCTCAACCAACTGAGCAATCCTCAAACTCGACGATTATCATCATTTTAATTAAATACTAGTAGTTGTATAAAGACCCTTGTCTTACAATGAAATGTAAAATTGACACAACATAAATATTGAACAATTAAAAATCAATTGCTTTACAATATACTTGGACAGAGTTATTCCAAAACAAGTGACAATACCTAAAAAAACAACAACCTTTGTGAAACTTGATCTTCACAGTTTCTTATAGGTAATACCTAGAAAGGGTCAAAGGTTTATGCTTTCTCCTTTTTGCCAATGAACCTTCTTAATATAACTACCTAGGCCCTCCTTATTTTCTTTTTCCTTCAATGCTTTTTTTCTTTTCAAGATTAGCTATAAACACATGACAAACATAGGGCAAGTGTAAAAATAGAAGTGATGAAATCGTATACAAATACAATGGGACCTTCTAAGCTCTTAATCAGAAGAAGAGAAAACACATAGCAAAGAAAAATAATTCAGCCCTAAATATTCAATCATCACTAAGACCATGGTAGTTATTTACTCCACAATAAGCGAAGATCCTGCATCAAAACCATCAAGTTTCTTGTTAAAACTTGACGAGATCAATAGCACTAGAGGCATTTAAGTCAAATAATTCTACAATCAAAATCATAAAAAGAGTATTGGCACACAAAAGCGTGGAGTGACTTCAATTTTCATCTACCTAAATTTTGGTTGGCAAAGTTACCCATTGCCAATAAAATCCGGTAAAGGTACCTACCAAAATAATCGAGGTGTACACCAATAGCACTTGTGGTGAAAAAGAAAAGAAATGATGAGAAAAAGAAGATAAATTCACAGAAAAGCGACAGTTACGAGTGTCACTAGGAGGTCAATTAGTGGAGGTGGATACCAATAGTAATTGTGTGTTGAAAAAATAAAAATAATGATTAAAGCTAATTACCAGAATGGTGTTGATAAAGAGAAGAGGAAGGTTGATCTCTTTGATGATTTTCCATGCACTGCATGAGAAACTTGAAGGTCTCAATCTCACAAGGTATAGTGAGTCCACCAATGTGATCAAACCCAAACTCTTCCTCAACTTTTTCCAACAACAATTTAAACAATGGATCACCAAGATAACTTGTGGGAATTATAAACCTCCGAAGCTCCGGTCCAACATAAACAGCCAAATAGCCTCTAGGGACACCATGGGGTGGCTCTGGACTTTGACAACTCTCCTCATCTGAATCACAATATACATTGTAATTCCTCAACCTCATACTAATCGAAGGTGATATTCCTCTAGGGGAATTGCTACCGTGTTTCAACGATGATCCAAGATGATTATTATTATTATTATTATTATCGTTGTTGTTGCAATTATTACCATTTCCCTTGGGACCAAGTGTGACATGTTGCCATTTACTTAGAAATTCTTTTAGTCTTACAATCTGCTTAATGCCTGTCACCTTGCTTCCTCCATGTTCATCCATTTTCCTTTGCTTGCTGCGACACGATTGATGATGAGATGAGAATCCAGCTGACATTGATTTTAAGCCCTTAGGCTCTTGGAATATTTCACTCATTTGATCTTGTTTTTTAGCTGCACAACAATGCCATGACTTAAATTTTCATTTTCGATTGAACTTTGAAATTAAATAAAGGTATGACAGATATACATTGTTTTAACCGATAAGACTTCAACAATAATAATAAATACGTCTCAAGTTCAATATTCATTTAACTATCTAAATCTCGATATGAGAGAACTATTTTGTTTTAAACATTGTTTTTCAACAATGATTTTCTTAATATATTCGTTTAGGTTCATGTTAAAAGAATGAGGGATTAATATGAATTTTTAGATTGATTTCTTAGAAATTATATAAAAACATTGTAAATCATAATCCGTTATAAGTCAAAATGTTTGAAAATTCATGGTAAAGATACATGTCATTAAAGAATAAACTTAATCCGAATTACAAATTTTAAATTCCAAAACAATAGAAAATAAACGTATATTCATCTTTTTGAATTACCAGAACAGGGTGAACAAAATTATTTACCGTTCTGATGGAAAATATGAACGAAAGAACGAGGAGATGGAGATTTCAGCAGTTGGTGCAATTAAGAAATGTCATTGTATGACTCATAAAGAAATTAAAATATCAACCAGCCCTAGAGGAGGAGGATGGAAGAGTTAGGCTATAATTCTTTTAAGTTTTTCAGAATTCTATACATGGAGTAATGATTTTGAATACAAAATGATATTAGTAAGTAACAACTTCTATGACTATTTGTCACCCTTTTTTGTCGCAGCAATTTTCTCCTTAACCTATTGGTATTACCATTATTTTGTGTGAATATTAGGTGCTAATAATTTATATTTTTTATATATAATTACTCTATTTGTCTTGAATATTTGGCTAGCCATCTTCTATATTATTTATTATTACCTTTATTTAGAAGGGACAGTTGGAGAGGACTAACACAGCATAAGAAAGTTATATCAAAAGCAAGTTAAATTGTACTGCTTTGGAGAAGACTAATAGTATAAGAAAGTTGTACCAAAAGCAAGTTAAATTGTACTACGTTATCTTTTCATAAAGTACATGTACTTCTAACCACGTGTACTTCTTTTTCTTTTCAAGAGAACTCGTGTACTGAAGTAGTACTGCACATTACTCTCTCCTTCTCAAAGCAGGTGAAAGAGTATTAGAAATTTCTCTCGGTTCAGATCCAAATTTATGTTCTCTTTTGATTTTGGTGTGATGTTTGCTATTAATTCTTCTTTTTTGAGGGATTGTTGGGTGAATTTTTGAAGGTATTTCTTTGTTTATATATTTTTATTGGTGTGTATCACTACAACAAAACTACCCAATAGCGAAGGGAAAACTGGTCGCTATAAGTACGAATCTGGTCCCAAAAGGTGCAATTGCGACCAGGTACACTGGTCCTTATAGACTTAGTCGCAAGGACCTTTAGGGACGAGATTATCGGGCTGGTCGCTGAATCATTTTCGCGACTAGTATAATAGTGGTCCCTAAAATACATTTAGGGACCATATATCTGGTACCTATTCGCACTTATTGAAATTGAAATTATGATCGTTAAATCATTTTGCGACTAGTTTCTAACTGGTCCTTATATCATTTTGGGATGACTTCTAAGCTGGTCCATAATAATTTTGCGACCAGTTTGAAGCTAGTTTGTAAATCAAGGTTGAGACCAGTTTGTAGCTGGTCTATAAATCAATTTATGAGAATTTTAAGCTGGTTCCTATATCATTTTGGGACCATTTTGAAGGTGGTCCATAAATCATTTCACAACCATTACAGATTTCCTACTCAAAAGGATTTTAAGGACTAACAATCTAGTCCTTAAATCACATTGCATTTGATATACAACCTGTCTCTTTCATATATAATATATAATGTAATTACAAAATAAGGTGAGCATAAGTCATCACACTATACAACAATGAGGTAAGCTAGTAACAATATTGTGACCATGAACCCTTAGCAAAAAAATCATATACTATCCTTAAACTATAATCCAAAGTTGCCTGAACCTTCCCAGTAAAAAATGGTCAATCTACATGTTTTAACATCACCTTTTTGCAAATTTCAGCATCCAAAATCTGTGAAAGAAATAAAACTTTCATTTAGAAGACCTATATATAAAAATAAACAGAAATATGTGTGATTAAATCAAATAACAATTTCTAAATAAACTGAAGGAGTATTACCCTATTGCATAAAATATGTGCATGTCATTTTGTTAACTAAATCAATCCAAACTCTAGTCATTTTCAGTAAGTACTTGATTGGGGACAACCTTTCTGGACAACAGCTCTTAAAAAACAGAGTGCTTCCCTAAATCTATTGCAGTGTATAGAGCCAACAATCATAGCAGTCCAAGAAATGAGATTCTTGTAAGGCATGTCTTCAAAACCTTTCAAGGCTTCATCCCAAAATCAACATTTAGCATACATATCAACAAGAAAACTACCAATGTAAACATCCCTAGAAACCCTCCCTGGCTCGACATAGAAACCATGAAGATACTTCCCAAATCAAACACATCTTAACGTTCCAGCAGGAGAAAGAGCTGCTACAACAGCCACTTCATCTACCTTAACTTGTGCTCGTCTCATCTCCAGGAAAAGTGTCAAAGCTCTAATTGGCAGAGCGTTCCGGGCATACCAATCAATCAAAGCAGTATAAGAAAGCACATCCTTATGCATAATATCATCAAACACTTGGCGTGCAAGGTGAACATACCCACTGCTAGCAAAACTAGAAACCAAAGAATTCTACACAAATTGGTCAGAAATGTATCCAAACTTAAATATTTGTGGGAAAATGAGATGTGGGTTTTCATTGTTGGCTCTAAGAAGCAAAGGAAAAGTATGTTTATTAGGAAAAACTCCATGTTGGCGCATTTGAATGTAGAAAATATCTATCAGCGGCAGCTATAAAACTAATTGGTGCAACAATTAAGATTTTTGTGGGAAATTTTTGTACACAATATGGTGGTAGCAGCTGCAACACTAACTACTGCAAAAGTTGGAACTTATAATGCCTCATATGGTCACTCAACTTTAAAAACTTTTATCTCAAAAAGGACATGGATCTAAAAGAGGATCAATGAATAGCAGTGTATCAGAAACAAAATTGGGTTTAATCTAATCGTTGACTCATTGAGATTAACCAAATAGCTTAGAAAATACTCATCAAATTGATAAAGTAAAAATTGAGAGCTAAAATGGCTGCAAAAAGTATTCTCTTTTTCAAAGAATAATGAAACTGATGGTCCAAAAGATCTTGCTGCAACTATACCTCTCTACTACATACATGACTCCATTTCAAACCAAGTTGCAAAATTTAAAATGTATCAAAGAATCACTCGAATCCGATCAGAAGAACTGTTCATTACAACTTAATTAAAACACCACTGTAAGTCTAAGAGAAGTAATTTTGGAACTACAAATGAATTCAGTCATTGTCTTTCGAAAACAATCTCTATGATCTGCCTTCACAAAGTATAGAAATAAGGTCCAAGTACATTGGCCTCACTTGTGGAATTACACTTATTATATTATTATTGTTGTTACAAGTTAATTTAGTAATCCCCAACTCAAAAAGTAGAAAACGATGGCCAAACATTTATTAGCACAAAATGAAACAAAAATAAAAGAGAGTACTGACTATTAAGACCACCAAGCTTAGTGACAGCATCAACAAATTGTTGATGTAATTCAGCAGTCCACATCAATCTTGGCTTTGGGTCTCTTGTCATCATCACCCCATCGTTCTCATACAAATAAATTCCCCCTCTTTCCACCCCATCAATTGCATTATACATACAATTCCTACAAACATTGAATTCAGTCGTTGACTACTAACTAAAGTCATCATATGAGGCAGTCGATGACTACACAAGTTAGAAATATATTGTCATAAAATAGCCTGAGTTTTCAGTCAGCTTGCTGTTGCTATGACGATTGTCCAGTAAAACATCAAGAAGTACTTATACTGTGATGTGTAAACTGTAATCGCAAACTAAAATTTACAATGAACAAAACATAGTCAAAAAGTTAAAGTTGAGAGAGGAAGAAGAGCTTACATGTTCTAAATGAGTTTGTTATCCTCACTTGAAAATCCTTAAATAGTCAAAAGTGCCTTGTTCTATGTAAAATTTTATCAGGAGTTAGTGTGCTGAAAAAATATAGCATTACATTGTACATGTTCTAAACAACAGGGAAAGTCTAAATGTATTCACGAAACGAGGAATTACTATAGATGCACCAATGTACAAAGCCAAATACATGACTACGACTTTGAGGTCCAAAGCATTTCTCAACAATTTCTATGCTAGAAAGTGATGGTTCAGACTCCACCAATTCTTGAATTTGAGCCTACAAGTGTATAGAGGAGATTTTTTTTTCCAGATCCCACAATAAGTAAATGTTAAGAACATGTTCAATTAATCAAACACACATGCTTCTCGATTGTTTCAGAATCAACAAGTGTGTTATTCTTCTTGCGAGTCTCTTAAAAGATAGTTGCCAAATCTGGTGGATTGCCATCTTTTTCGCCCTTTACATAAAAGTAAACATGTCAAAGAAGAGTTCATCAATATTAAGACAAAAAAGATTTGATGATAACACCTTTTGATAAATAATCTCTCTAATTGGCTTGCTACTAATATGATGAAGCATCTTCAACTTAGCTCTATTTATTGCGTTTCTATTGCTTCTCGCCTATATTTGAGTATACTCATCAGCAACTTCTCCAACAATTTTTTTTATCAAACTACATGACGATCCAAGCAATTTCAGTAACTATCTAGAATCTAATTGAAATCAAGAACCACAAAACAACAATGACAAACAATCACGAATTTCCAAGTAGCTTAAGACTTCAAAAATGCACCACAAATAGTAACTTTAGAGATTAATATGCAACCATAGTTGTAGTAGAAAAGAACAATTCAAAAAAAAAATTGAAATAGCAAAAAAAAAAGGTAACTACTATGAAGTATATTATATGAAACACATACTTTTAAAGTTCTTGTGATAACTTAACTTTAATCCAATAAAGAATACACTAAATTGATCAAAAGTAAGTAGAAATAGAATTCACTCAAACTAAATTTTACTAACTTCAACCAATAGAGTGTTGAGAGAAAACAATTTATCTCATAGTAATTAATAATACTACTACTTCTCAACAACTCTCTTAAAGTGTATTTTTCTCAACGATTTTGGACTCAACTATTGAACTCATGAAAGTTGTATAGATCAAAAAACAACTTGATATTTAAATAGTGGCTGAAAGCAAAGATTGACAGCTAGTTTCGAGTCAATGTTGTTCATGAAATTGCAAAATCTTGAAAAAGAGAAAGTAGAATTATACTAGAATGCTACTGAATAAACAAATTATGTGAATATTTCAGATGCTTTAACAAAGCTCATTAACAATTTTGTTTCTTTCTCGTCTAATCCTCAAGCTACTCATAGACAAAAAAATAATTAGATGCTTTAACAAAGCTCATTAACAATGTTGTTTGTTTCTTTTCTAATCCTCAAGCTACTCATAGACAAAAAAAATCAGATACTTTAAAAAATCTCATTAACAAGTTTGTTTCTTTCTCGTCTAATCTTTTTAGTGTCAGAAAATACACTGATAATACAATAAAAAGAACCATTCAAAATCAAAGCACACAAACTGGGTACTGAAATTAAAGAGACTAATGGTAAAAATATTCAACTAATTCATCACCCGATAGAAAAAATAATTTCAATGTCAGCCTTACCAAAATTTCTTGGCAGCCCTAGCAAGTATGCCACCCTAACAGAGAAAATCCTTAAATAAACTCTCAAATATCTCCTCTTTGACCTTCAACCCCCAGCCTTACCTACAAAACTATCATTTTTCATCCTAACAAAATAACATTGAGTATCTATAAGAGCCAAATCACATAATATTCAATCATCAGAAAGAAAAATGAAAAATTATACCAAAAAAGAAGAAGAGGGAGATGAATCTGGAGGAATAAACTTACTTTAGATCTACATAGCTAGATGAAATGTTTTTCTCCAAAAAAATGCCTTCAAACATCAAGATTTAGGAAATTTTTCTGCCAATAATGCCTTCAACTTTCAAGATTTAGGGACTTCAAAGCTTGTTTCATAGAGCAAGAGAGAAAAAATTAAGGATACATCAACGATTTTTGCATATTGTTGGAGAGAGAGAAAAATCTACTACTTTTATTAATGGATTTTGGGGTTTTAGGTTATTACCATGGAGAGAGAATTTTTTAGAGCCTTGTAGTTTTTCACTTTTTGTTCCCACTCTTCTCTTGTAGTTTCCGCTGAAATTTTTTACTTAGGGACCAGTCATTTTTATTTTTAGAAAATAATATAGTCAAATATGGACTAGTCAATAATATCATCCTTATAAGTATATTTTAGGGACCATATTTATAACTTGTCGCTATATTTTGGTCTTTAATGAGCCTTTTTGTTGTAGTGTATACCTTAGTTCCGTTCTTGTGAATATGAATTATTGCTAGGGCTCTTCGTTGTCTTTGGCCTGTATTTCGGGTATGTTGTCCCTACATAACCCAGTATGTAAAGTTCTGAAGAGGGATTATTTTAGAGATATCTTTTCTACTTCTAAAGAAATTGAAAATATATTGTTGGTTGTATTTTGCTATTTTGAGAGATTCAATACTTATCTTTCGTGTGAATTTTGTGGGTTATTTTTAGATGAATTCAATTTGACTGGTATTGCGCTCAAAGTCTATTTGAACGCCACTTGACTGTCAGGAGAGGTGGGTAAGTTGATTCAACTGATACCGATTTTGGCATTAAATACATATTTGTAATTTCTAGGCATTTTGTATTACAATTTCGAATAGCAGTATGGTATTGAAGAGAAAATGAAACTATGTGAAGAGGTGTGTTGGATTGACGTATGGTGAAAAATGGTAAACTGCTGATCATGATGCTAGATCAAAACTCATTATATCTATAAAACATTCATATGTGATTGTAAAAGAAATTAAACGTTGATGTGGGTAGATATTGATGTTTGGCTTCCCCTCCTTTTGTTAATCAATATATTGTAATCGTGCAGGTACAATATCAAAGATAGAAGAAGTCAAAGTTGGTTGTGTGTGGAATGGGAAGGACCAGTTTCTAAACATCCTGCAACAAAACTAGGATGAGATAAATTGTTAGGATAAGAATTGTTTATTCTAGGATGCTCGCCTAATGTGTCAAATAGTGCTAGAGAAGAAACTTTTAAGGCGAGGCAAGTTTTTATAGATAGATGAGAGCAATAAATATATTTCTAGATTTTTCTGACTTATGTGTAGCAACAAATTTTTGACATGTTCGAAACTACCTTATTCTATATTTTCAGTAATTTAGTTTTACTAATTGGCGACTTCTTATGTTAATATTCTTCCACGTTCATCCAACATGCTTAGTATTAGTTAACTACATGATTTCAATAATTATTTGTAGTTTGTTTATCTACGTATTTTTGGGTCTGGCATTCGTTGAAGAACTTTTCTTTCGCATTGTGAAATGTTTGTATATAAATGACGTCCTTATAGGATTATTAAATTGAGAAGGCCTTGCCATTTTTATGTTTAGGCGAACTCGAATCATGAAATTGTTTCTCCCCTGCCTTCAAGGTTGTTTACAGTGAACAGAATACTAACAATTGAATGTATTGATAAAACATCGATTATGACAGAACAAAAGAGGATTGAAACCTAGGAAGAAGAGATGTATTTTCAAGTTGGATTAATTATTGAAAACCTACTTAAATTCTATATTACGTTGCGATTCTAATTTCATTAGGTGATTTAAGTTTAGTTTTGTACAATTTCACAAAAGGATTTTTGTTATTTGTAAACTCATCTTCTTATACTATCTAATATTTTCTACTTCCTACTTCAGTCTATAAGTAAAGGTCTTTATCTTTTTTTGGGGTAAGCTTCTCAGTTCTTCGGCACTTCTTTTACTAATATTAAGACAGGCGGTGAACTCATGGGTCTAGGCATGGCAATTCCCGTACAAATGAGTGCCAGTATGCTGGAAATATAATATGTTATATTGATAGTGAACAACTTCATGCAGAAGTTAACAATAGAGGTATGTCATATAATGTTTTCCACATTTTCACCAGTGTGAGTAGGCAATGTATTTTCCTCATCAATGTGACTCAAGGTTACTCTATCCATTGTTGTCACACTCTTCTAGATTTTGGTATCTAATTATTTGACTTTCAAATGTACAACGAGAGTAGCCGATGTGTTTTCTAGCTAATATGCTTTCTTTTGTCGAGGCTAGGAACATGGCATGACTGATTGTGAAGGCTTTTGGTTGATTCTGGATGAATATATTTGTGGGTAAACTTATTTATTTGGTTATGTTATCTTTATGTCCTCTTGCCATTTTTATTTTTGTTAGGAAACTCTCTCATTCAATTTCTCAAAATAAGTTATCAAGGAACTTAACAAAGTAATAAACATGTTGAAGAAGATGATAGCCACATTAAAATTTGTGAGTCGTAGTCATTGTCATTCCTTATCTTTAGACCTCCGACTTCAACTAAAAGTGTAACTTATATTTTTAAATAACCACATTCTGACAACTTAATGAAAATGACCTAACTATCAAACAGTCAAGATTAATTAGCAACTGTGCCTTTCATTTAATCTGTCATATGGTATAAATGAATGTGAAAAAATATTACTTCTCTAGATGTTTTAGTTTTTTTTATATTTGTCTTGAAAGTAATTACTAATAATAGGACTTCTCGTCAGGCATGAACCTTGAGGTAAACCTGGGTTAAGCTTTCAATCAGTATATGATCGACATGACCATTAAGCTTTCAGCTGGTACTCGACACATTATTTAGCTTTGTTTAGAGTTCGACAACTATGGAGATATGAATAGAACTTTAGGTTTTTTTTTTTGCCAAGTCAAATTAGTTATGAACCTGTCACGTAAATTTGACATTGACTGCAATTTGGTCAATCAGATATTTGGTTGTTGCTAACCTACCTGATATCCAAGATAATGTGCACATTATAGACAAATAAAAGGTAATTGATTATTCTACTATTCAATTTATCTTCCTACTTATCTATATTTTGTAATTGCAGTATACTTGAGCTTCTAGCATATCCATCTTTTAAATTTATCGTAGAATGTACATGTAAGATAGTTCATTCTACTGTCTAATGTACAGTTGTTTAACCAAATTGAAAATCCTCCTAGCCGTCGGTCTCCCTTTGCAAATAATCCTAATGACTCCTTTTGGTCTTTAGTTATGTTATACTTGAAAGTATTTACTGAAATAGGCAAGTATGTGAGCTTTATTCTCTCCTATTTATAGTTGTGGAGTCATCATTTATTGTTTTATTAGCTTGCTTTATTTTAGGATAACCTTAAGTTATTACTTAAAATTTCTTTATTATGTTTATGGATCTTTCTATGTTTTATGTTTGTTCTTAATATATTCAGTTTATTTTGATTTCTGGAGAGAACTATACTCTTATTCTGCTTATTGATCTTTTGTGAAAATTCATGACACGAAAGCATTATGAAAGTTTACAACACTGCTTCCGTGTGTACATAATGACATGGATGAACATGATTCTCCTTTTGTATGGGAGTCTCTGCAACTCACAAGAAAATCGTGGTTAATACTTTATTTATATGCAAGAAATGCTTT